ATCATGATCAATCTCGAACTAAAAATAACACATTTGGTTCAAGACTTTGGAAGAACATCTGGAAACTAAACAATATTATTTTATAACACTCTAGTTAGGTTATTGGGAAGGGCAACAAAATAAGATTTTGGTATGACATATGGCATGACAAGTCTACTTTTCAAACAAGATTCCTCTGATTTATGCTATTGTCAAGGACAAAAATATTTTGGTTAAAGATGCTACGGTTCTTGACAATCAGGACTTTTGACGGGTGTCAATATTCAAAAACTTCTAAGATTGAAAGTTGGAGGAATATTTATTCTTGTTATAGACTCTGTTTTTAATTCAAGTTTATGACAGAGAGGACAATCTAAAATGATTACTCTTAAAAAATGGTACTTTTACTGTCAGATCTCTCTACAACCACTTAACAGACAATCTTAATCAGAACAACGTTAGCTTCCTTTCCAACATGATATGAAAATGGGGTACAACTACAAGAATTTTATTTTTTGCTTGGGAAGCTGCAAAAGGCCACATTCTTACTCTTGACAACCTATTGAAAAGATGTTTCACGATTGTCAATAGATGTTTCCTATGTAAAAACAATTTTGAAACCTGTAACCGCCTGCTTTTAGGCTGTTCGGTTTCACAGCACCTATGGAACACCATTATTTGTCAGCTGCTGCTATAGTGTCTTGTTGCTCACAACTTATGGAGCATTATTTATCAACTCTTGGGGATTAGTTGGGTGATTTTTTGGAATGTGAGGGGGGAAATTTGGGCTTGGGATGGGATGATCAATAAATGTAATGTTGCCAATTTGATTCCATTGTCTGTCTTTTGGGTTATTTGAAACGAAAGAAATGCTAGGGTTTTTGATGGGAAAGAGTTAGGGTTGTATAAATTAAGAGATAAAGTGAATTAATTATTTTGGGTCTAGTTTGCTTGGTCATGATATTGTAAAGGATGAAGATTTTGGGGATATAATTGACATACTAACTATTTTGTAAATTGTTTACAGGGCGGTACCCCCTCTTTTTGGTACCTTGTTAACATACAAGTTACTTTTTATTTCAAAAAAAAAAAGAGCTCCATTATTAGTCTTATGGAGCTGTCTTGGGTCTTGAACAACAACATTCATGCTAAACTCCTAGCATGGGAAGGCATCAGCAGCAAGAAGAAAATGTTAAAATTAATCCCACTCACCATAATATGGGTCCTTTAGAAAGAGAGAAACAATTGCACTTTTGAAGGAATAGAACTTGATTTTAACAAACTCGTTGATTATTTGTTTCACTATTTTGGTTTTATTATTTTAGGACATAACATTGACTGGCTTAATAATTTTGGTTTTGTTATCGATTGTTTAATCAAATTGTAAATACATTGTGAATGGGTTGTGCCCCCATGGCACTCTAACATCAATACAACTCCACACTTCATTTAAAAAAAAAATATGTTATTTCAAATCTAGCCAATTCTTGGCTTTCTTTCTCTCTCTTTCTTCCTCTTTTCTTTTCGGTCGGAATCATGTAATCAGGTTCGTGACACAGTCCATGGAAAGCTCTCTCCAGAATGTTACACCTGTTCACCCCCCTTATCCACTTTAAAATGGAAGATGGTTCCATGTTTCTAGTTTTGGAGGACCATGCTGTCCCTTGGCCCATTGTCCCTGCTTGTTTAATGTCTCCTCATGCCACCATGCACCCATCACTTAGTTTTTATGCCAAACTGATGGAATTATGACTTTGAAGTTCCACTTTTTCAATAACCTACATGATAGAGGTACAGATGAGATTCCTCACCCTCATGAGACTGTTGGAACCGTCCAAATTTCCCAACAGTCAGATAGTAGGTCCACAGAGAATTCTCAGGTATATACTCTTGTAAATTTTTGTTTGATTATATTACTAAGTATCTGATTATTTTTGTAGCTGTTTCATGACAAGCTAAAGTTCCTTCTAAATTGAAGGTGTTCGTGTGGAAAGCATTTCTAAAACGGATAAACTAGAATGAGTTTTTGCAGATTTGTAGGCTAATCGAGCTATTTCTCGAATATTTGTTGATGTCCTAAGAGGAGGGAAACACTTAATCACTTATTTCTTTAATGTGGAGTGGCTTGGAAATTGTGAACATGATTATTTGACACATTTAGTTTAAACTGGATGAAATGTCCCTTTCTGGAATGTTTTACGAACTCCAAATATTTATGGTTTAGGGGTGAGGAGAAAAGCTAAAACTATGTGGCAAGTCATTCTGTTTGCAGACTTGTGGACAATATGGTTGGAAAGAAATCAGATCTCTCCCTATTGAATTCTATGGGAGAAGATTACTTTTTTTAACCTCCCCGTGAGCAAAGGCCTAAGGGAATTTTTCAGATATCTCCTTTTCTGTCCTTCATGGGAATTGGGGGCAATATCTCTTGATCCTCAGGGTTTGGGATGTTTTGTTACTTCAATTCCAGGAGGATACCTTATCATTTGCAATTGTAATGAATCTTTCTTAATCCCAGTGATATTTTTTTTTCCTTCTATTATTAAAAAAACAAGAAAAGAGAGTGTATAAAAAACAGCGGAGGATTATATATCCTCTCAGATTAAAAGAAAATGGAGATAGTCTAGAACCCTTTGGACAAGGAATATGGTCTAATCGCCACACGTCAAAGGTAGTGTTAATTCTTAAAGTGATGATGGCCCTTTTGCCCATAGAGAAACCAAAAGGGGATTTATCCCAAAGAACTAAAAATAGAGAAGCTTGATCCCTTAAGATCCTGGTGTTTCCTTGAAACAAATCACCCAGAACCCAAGATCTGGGCCCCCTCTATGACATGTTTCTCTCTTTTTTCTTTCCCAAACTGCAAAAGGCCATAGAAACAAACCTCTCAACACTTAAAATATGAAAAAGTCAATATTTCTACTGTTAGGCTAAATCATAATGCTAAAATAGGTGATATTGAGTCTCTGTAGCTCGATAACACATGAAACATACACCTGGAGACAAAGCACAATTCATTGGTATTCAATATATGCCCAAAAGCAGTTTAAACAAAGGGCTTTGACCCTAGAGGGAGCTGGAACCTTCTAAAACGTTATTAAATGCATCACTATGATTTGGAAGAATTGTGTCACAAAAGCAAAGGACTTGCAGTTAAACGTGCTTGAGGATTCGAAAGACCAAACTCTTCGATCTGAATTCCTATAGGATAAAAACAGTGCTGAACAGGTGTATGTTGAGCAATGCATAGTTTGTTATCATTCAATGGTGTAAAAACTATTGCTTTATTGTCAATAACTTAAGTGGTGCATCAGGTGTTTTCTGCCACAAAATCTCAAATGCAATTTTTTTGAAATAAAAAGTGTAGTGTGGTATTAATATTGACAAAGATACCAACGGGGTACTGCCTGTATATAAGATATTTACCGGTCAATTAAGTGGTCAATGACATTTGCTGCCACAAATGCACATTATAATTTCATAAACTTTGAACTATGTTAGGTAAACAATAGCATATTGATGATGCAAGGGGTGAGATAGGGGCGCCCTCTCTCCCTATTCTGAAAATTTCAATAATCCCTTTTGGCTACATGTGATGCACGTACGTGGTCTACACATGGAATTTTGGAGAAGCTGTTTGTCTTTTTTTGAGAGAAAAAGAAAGGAAGACTTTTGCATTAAAAGGTACCAAGGGGTACTACCCATGTCCAAAAGAAGCTTGAAATACAGGAGAAGCAGAATTACAGGCAAGGATGTAAGGCATCAATAAGTTTGCAAAGGTCTTCACTAGAGAGGGGATGACCATCAAACAAAATACTTGAGTAGGGAACCAATGAGCACAAAGTTTAACAAAATTGGATGAAAGCCCTACAAAAGCTCTTCTGTTTTGCTTGTTATTATGCTAAAACAAGGAGATAATGCTCCCGTTCTTCTTGAGTACCCCTCAGAATGGAAATAAAGATGGGGGGTTTGAAAGAGGAAATGCAAGACTCATGAGCATAGAGACTTTTTCTCTTTTTCTATTTTGTTAAGAGATTGGACAATATTTCTCTCTTTATTTTTGCTTTCTTTTTTCTCTTGGATCTTTTATTCTCCATTGATGCAATTTCCACTTTCCAATATATTAATTATGCCTCTTGTTTCTTATCCAAAAGTAAGAAGATGAGAATAATGAATGAGAAATATAAGGAACTTTAGAGAAGATGTGGAGGGCTGGCAAAATCTATCATTGAGAAAAGAAGTTATTCAAGCAGTTTATCATTACTTATTGACCAGTATCGCCATCTTCGTTGCCTTGTTTTTTCCTGTTTCTAACAAGTCAATGAGGACAGAACAAGGGATAAGGTAGAGGTAGAGTGCCCCTGTTTCATTTAAAAAGGTGCTCTGTTTGCAGTTTGGTTGTTGAGTTCCTTCACATATTTTCTGGAGCATAATCGTAGGTGAATTTTCTAGGCAGCTTCTAGATTCTCTTTCTCATCATTTTTTAAAATTAATTTGATTATTAGTAAATGATGGATGCAATAGAAGTTGTCATGAGTGCCTAAAATTTCCCCATCATATATCTACACACATAAGACATGTTTGTTTCTAACATAGTTGATTCTTTTGGTAGGGACACTCGGTCTTCAGTTTTGGAAGAAAGCCTCCGGAAATTGGGAGTCGAAAGACTTGGAAAAGATGATGTTCAGAAGATGCAGTGGGAGGTGTTGGAAGCGAAGATCGGAAACTGGATACATTTCATGCGAATTGCTGTAAGAACTGGAATGTGTACAAACTTTTGACTAACTGGTCTCCCAACTAACATAATGGTTAAACAGGTAAAATTGTTGTTTGGCGGGGAACGGAAAGTTTGTGATGAAATATTTCAAGGCTTTGATTCTCTCAGCGATCAGTGTTTTGCTGATGTTACCACAAGTAGTGTTTCGGTTCTGCTTAGTTTTGGGGAGGCAATTGCCAGAAGCAAGCGATCTCCAGAAAAGTTATTTGTACTTCTGGACATGTATGAGATAATGCGAGAGCTTCACTCAGAGGTACAGGAGGTTCCAGTTTTAATCTGCATGCTGATCCAAAATATATTTTGTCTGTTAAGGTGAAATGTTGTATGGTAAACCATGTGAAATGTGGTCTTAGTCAGGAACTGTTCAGAAACTTTAATAGTTCAACCCTTTTTTTACATGTTTATACTCTAAATGTTTCCATAAACTCGAAAAGATCTTTTTCCAAGGGAGCTGTAATTTTTGTTCATGTATATTAATATATAACAGGTTTGGTGTTTGTAGTGCAATGCAAGAAATATAGTGCTGAACCTTAACATTTATATTTAATGCTATTGCAGATTGAAATGATTTTTAAGGGGAAGGCTTGCAGTGAAATTAGAGAATCTGCATTAGGTTTGACAAAACAGCTCGCTCAAACAGCTCAAGAAACATTCGGTGACTTTGAAGAAGCAGTTGAAAAAGATGCCACAAAGACTGCTGTTTTGGATGGAACTGTTCATCCATTGACAAGTTATGTGATCAACTATGTCAAGTTTCTATTTGAGTAAGTTCCACTTACCATGGTTTTGATCTCCTAGTCCACCTTTGAGAATACATGCTGATGAGTGAGTCATGAAGTCATAGAGGCTTATCAGATCTGTCCTTTCTGAAAGTTTCTCTAACCTTCTACTTTTTTTTTGGATGTGACTTGGTTATTTTATGCTTATGTGACATAAATTGTCAATATGTTTGTGTGTTGAAGTTTCTCTAAGCTTCTACTTTTTTGTTTTAAAAGATGCCTCACGCTAAATGAGTGTTGCATTGTACTCTTCTCAGATACTTGTACGTTTTGGTTTATTAGGTATTCGCTTCATAGGGCACATATTGTGTCAAAATGCACTTTTTCTGTACTTGTTTCGTTAATTGCAGTTTTTATTAATAAGGGTAGGTATTCTATTTTTTGTTTTGATTGCTCGGCTAAAAAAATTAACCTTAGGACCAGCAGTCTAGCGGGTCTTAATATTGGTATGCAAAACTTGAGAGATCTAGCAGACTCAGTTAGCTGTGAAATCTTACAATTAGCCTTTCTTACTTTGGTGTTCTTGTGGTAATCCTGGAGCTACCTCTTTTTGGGAGCCTGTTGTGAGTAGAACCTCTAAGTGCATGGTTTGTTGGAAGGGTGCTTCTTTTTCTCATGGGTGTTTAGGCTGCTCTTATTTAGTCTTGCTTGTCTAGATTCACTTTATTATCTTTATCTCTTTAAAATACCTAGAGATGTTCATAAAAAGAATTGAGATGGTGATACGGAGTTTTCTTTGTTTTGAGGTGGGTGATTCCTCGTGAGACCCACTTATTAGTTGGGAGAGACGTTGTTTGTCCAAGCTTGATGGTGGTTTTGCTATCTATAATTTTTTTTTGAAATTTGTTAAATCTGGCTAAATGGCTTCAGAGGTTTCCTTTGTTGTCTAACTCTTTATGGTGTAGGTAACCAAAAGCATTTTTTATTTACATCAGAATAGATGAGATTCCCAAGTTATTGTTTCCGAGACATACAAGAGCCTCTGGAAAGCCTTTATAATTCTCACTTACCCTTGCAACATGAGGGTGGATGACGGTTCTTGGTTCATTTTTCAGGAAGATCTTGGTTTAATAATATTCCTTTAGCGTCCTGCTTCTTTGATCTGTATAATCTGTCTCGAGCTTGTCATGCTACCATTTCTTCTTTTGCAGACTACTTTAATGATTCCCTTTTTTGGAACATATCTTTAGAAATTGTTAATGACTGAGAGGCTGATGATATGACCTCTTTGCTTCGCCTACTTGATTTTGTTGTCTTATCTAATAACTTTGGTCGTCGAATCTGGTCTTCGGAACCTTCGTGTATCTACTCATGCAATTCCTACAATGTTCTTCGGACTCGCAATCCTGCCTCCCATAATGACATTCTTAATAAGAGTTTTTGAAAGGTTCCGGCTCCCTCTAAGGTTCAAATTTTTGGTTGGGACTGCAGTTTGGAGCAAGCTGAGTACTAGTGTTTGCTTCAAGCTTGCCAATTGAATCATGCTTTATCCTCAGGGATTTCTTTAATGCAATACAGAGCAGTGGAACTTACGATCATCTGTTTTTGCATTGTGTATGGCCCTGGAGAATTTGATGTCATTTGTTTGATACTTTAGGTGTCTCTTGGGATTTGCCAAACACAACTGAGGGCTCCCTTTCATCTGATGTTTTGATTCTGAATTTGAAGAAAGAGATTAAAGTCCTTTAGTGAATGCATTCTTTGATGGGGTACGGCGATTTGGCTTGAAAAAAATTCAAGAAATCTTGGGGACTACTTTTCACCTTTATGATCCTTTGGGAAAAGTTATCTTTCTTAACTTCCCTTTGGTTTAAGGCACATGGACGCTTCAAAGACTTGTCTTCGTTTGCTTTACATGAAGATTAGATAGTTATTATGTGGCAAGAATAGTCAACCCTCTTTTTTTTTGTTTTCCTTTTTTTTTTTTCTTTTTGGCGAGGTTGCTTATCCTCCTTTTATTGTACCTTGTTCTTTCTCCTTTTCTTAATAGTTTTTTTTTTTCTATCTCTCTCTCTCTCAAAGAAAAATTGATTGTTAATTTGCTACTAAATGAATTTTAGTCAGTTTCTTTAAAGCTTTGCATTTTTACCCTGTGGTATTAGATAAAAGTCCTTGGAGGAAAAGAGTGGTCTTTGGGTCCTTGTGATAGTTATTTTATTATTTACATTGTGCTGGTTGTTTTGTGGATAAATGAGCAAATCTTAATTGGCATCATCTAAACCTTATATTTTAGCTTGAACCTCACCTTAGGAGGTATCTGCCCCAAATAAACCACCAATTTTTGTAGTTTTGCTTCTTCCCCCCTGGATAACACTCTGTGTTGAAGGATCCTTAAAGGAAAGAGTGGTATTCAGGATCCTTTAACGAAAGGTGACTCCACATTCTACCTGCCTTATACATTTGATCAAGATGGTTACTGCAAATTAGAGTTAAGGAGCATGGAGTCCTATGTCTAGCTGTTGGCATTCTGCATCTTCTAGTTTGTTTGGAGAAACATAAAAAACGAATTTACTAATAAAGATCATACATTTGGCTTATCATGGCTGCAAATGGTTAGTTTGGCCAATATATATCTTTGTAGGCTATTTGTAACAACTTTGTTTTTTTCATTTCTTCTTAGCAACTATCTGTAGCTATCTATATCTCTGTTTTAGTTATTATACTATGATTTCCTTGTTTTTTCTTTTGACATTGGCTGAATATTATATGGTCTACAATAAAGAGATAAATACCCTATGAAATTTAATATGAGGACAACACTATCTTAGATCTTTTAAGTCTAATAGGACTTGCTATTAGATTTGTAATATATCTGTTGTGTTTGTGCCATAAATAGCAATACAAGATTCATTGATAGACAAGAGATTATTTATTCGTAAATGGCACATGATATCAGACATTATTTCTTAGTTCTTGTCATTTCTAATAGGATTTGTTGTTAGACTTATAAAATATTTCATTGTACTTGTGCTATAAATAACACCGATATTTTCTTTTTTTGAGAAATAAATAGCACCATATTATACATCAATATATGAGACAATCTTTCCAAAACTTCACATGGAAGCCATCAGTGATTTTTATGCGCCAGTTATATTTGCACCAAGACACAGAAGTAATAGCCCTAGTCCTCTGAGAATTTTGTCTTAAATAATTAATATTCTCATGTGTTCTTTACTTTCCTGTTTTGATATTGTTGACAGGGATTATATTTATCCACATAATTTATCATGTATTTTTACAGCTACCAATCGACCTTGAAGCAACTTTTCCAGGATTTTGAAAATGGAGATGGGACGGGCTCACAGTTGGCTTCCATAACAATGCGAATAATGCAGGCTCTTCAAACCAATTTGGATGGAAAATCCAAGCAGTATAAGGATATTGCTCTAACTCACTTATTCCTAATGAATAACATTCATTATATGGTCAGATCTGTGCGCAGGTTTGCCACGTTTCTCCCTGAACGAGTAAATTTTGGATATCTTTTATGGTTTACAATATTATCTGGTAATGTTTTTATTTGATGTCTTCAGGTCTGAAGCCAAGGATTTGTTGGGGGATGATTGGGTGCAAAGACACAGAAGGATTGTGCAGCAGCATGCAAATCAATACAAACGGAATGCTTGGGCAAAGGTGCATTTCTTTGGGCAGTCAGATTTGTTTCTAAAAACTTGATTTAAATTGCATTTAGTTAAAACTATTATAATATTGATTAAAAGCAATATATCTTAGTTATTTGATATATAGAAGTGAGTCATAATTTACATTTTTGATATATAATTACTGCAGTTGTATCTTTAATTCCACAACCACGAATTCTGTATTTTCACCTGTCAAAGAAGAATTTATAGAAAACCTAACTTGAATTGATCGTGGAATTGACTTGGTATTAGAATGCTATTTTGTTCAAATTTCTTCTTAGTTGTCTTGTATTCTCATTTCTATTCCCTAGCTTTGAAATTTGAACCAAATTCAACATTGTAGTTTTAAGGACGTGTACATAATTCAATCAGCCAATGAACTTTTCTTTAACTCGAATTGATAAATTTCTTCTTGGTTGTATTGTATTCTCATTTCTATTCCCTACCATTGAAATTTGAACCACATTCAATATTACAGTTTCAAGGACATGTACATCAATTCAATCAGCCAATGAACTTTTCTTGTCCTGGTTCTACCTAGCCAAAATGTTAAATTTTTATGTTCTTTTGTTACCTGAGTACTCGATTGAAACTTGCCACTTCAGGAATGTATTCTGTCATGGAGGATATATAGGATATGTGCATTTCTCAATATATTTCCTTAAGGCTTCTCATTTTTTCAATGTTGATGTATCGAATATTTGATAATAAAGTATCACTGTAATCTTTTATCTCAAAAAATAAAAAAAATGTATCACGGCAATCTTATTTGTTGTTTGTTATTATATGGATGTAACATGAGAAGCTATCTTCACCTAAGTTGATTTAACTAGTAGGAATATTGAAATGATAAACTGAAAAAGAAAAAAATAGATTATAATACATAATAGTCAAGTATGCTTCTATTCGCTTATATTTCACTTTATTTTGGTTTTAGTTGTTTCTGCTGATTCTCTATTGAGAGTGCATGAAGGATATGCCACCCCGAAAACATTTATATAACCAATTTTACAAACTTTGAATGTTTAATTGAAAGAAAATTATCCTTTCACCCAAAGGTTGAAGTGCATAATCATCCATCTTATTTATGATTATATTTTTATTGATATTTAATTTTCCTATTTATAGTAATAGTATTAGTATTTATTATCTTTGTCCTATTTAGTAAAGGTTACCTACCAAGCCTATATTTTTATAGGATAGTTTGTTGAATGGTGGATAAACTATTGTATCTGGTTTAGCAATAGTTTATTGGCAGTTTAAGAAGTAAAATTCTATTGCATATGAGGAAAAATAAGGAAAAGAAATCAAAGATCGATTGTGATTATCCTACTCATAGAAGATAGTTTGATTGTTTTTTCTTCTTTTCTTTTTGCTCTTTTTAGGACAAATGAAGCTTGTTAAAAGAGACTATTATATGTAATCAAGTTAAAGGGCATTAGAGTAAAATATATCCAAATTAATTAATATAATTAATGGTCAATTTCCTTTTCTCTTATAGAAAACCTATATATATATATATATGATTGTGATATTCAATAAAATACATATTTAATGATTTTTAACATGGTATTAGAGCTTTAGAGAAAAGAAATTAGACCTTCTTCACAGTCCTGATTGGCTTTCATTGATAAAATAAGAGACAAAACCTTAAGGGGCTGACCTTTATTGTCTGCCACCACAGACCAGTTGCTGGCCTACCTAGACCGGCCTCCAGCACTAAAAGAGGCCTACATCAAACCTTCCAAGTTGCCAGACCTGCACAATGTACAACTAGTTGGGGCCCCTCTTGCAGCATGTGCCTCTATCCAGCTTGCTAGGATCCGCGTAGCACCTTCTGTCAAGCCGCACGTTGCCTTCCTGCTTAGTCGCTTGAGGTGCGGTGGCTCTGTCCAGGGCACATAGCCGTGCACGGCTACCTCCAGCACACTTAGCCAGCCGCCGTCAGGCGCGTTGCCTATTGGTAACATCCTCCTCATGGCCTTCTATTTGGCCTTAATTGGCCTACAACTCTTGAAGTATGTCAAAGGTTACATACAAAATACTGAAGCAAATTATCACTTGGGAAATCCTACACAAAATGATAGGGAGTTTTAGCTAATCCATGTTGCTTATCGCTTCAATTGAAAGAACTATTTGAGTTGGTCGCTACTAATGCGGATCACTCTCAAAGGAATAAAAAAGCTCAACCACCTTGTGTGTGCTGGTCTAAGACCAGAAGACCTAGGTTTTGATGCATGGGATGAGGAAAGCTCAATGATTATGTTTTGGGTTTGGAACTTTTGCTGCTAAAGATAAGTAAGTCGGTTAAATTTCTTGTTTATAGCAAAAAAAGTTTGGGATGCAATCAGAGAAACTTATTCTAAAGTCAAAGACGCAGCCAGATTTATAACACAAACGTCAAAATATGATATACAAAGTAAGAAAACAAGTCAATCACTAATATTCTAACATGTCGAGAGGTTGGTGGCATGACTTGAATCGATTCTGTAGCCTTACTATACACTATAGTAATGATGCAACCCGTCTCAAACAGTTTGCAGATAAAGACCGTGTCCATCATTTTCTAGTAGGACTCAACCAGAAGTTTGGTCAAGATGAAATGTCATCACTAAATGAGGTAATTGCTATTGTATCTACAAAGGAGAGCAGGAGAAGGATCATGTTAGAATCTCGATCCTCTTGTAGCTCAGTACTAATCTCCAAAAGCTCTAAGTCACATCAACAAAGAAAGGAACTAAACCAAGCTAAAAACTTAAGAGTCTAGTGCTGGTAACAGGGATAATCTTTGTGTAATTTTTATGAGAAGCTCAGACACACCAAAGATAAGTGTTGGAAGCTCCGTGGCAAGTTCAGTACCTCAAGCAAGTAATGGGGTTACAAGTGCACCCCATAGAAGTCCCACAGATAGGTCCATGTGACCCCCAAGAGTATCAATGAATTCAAAGTCAAGATTGAACGATTACAAAACAGATTAGAGAATCTTGAGGAACTTACAAATACAAGTTTGATGGAACACTCAGGTATGCTTGCTTCCAAGTGTGCCTCGGATAGACTGTTTGAAAACTCATGGATAATATTTGGTGTAATTTTTACAAGAAGCTCAAACACAGCGAAGAAAAGTGTTGGAAGCTTCATGACAAGTCCAATACCTTAAGCGATGAGTGGGGTTACAAGTACACTCCATAGAAGTCCCACAGACAGGCCCATTTGACCAACCAGAATGTGGAAGACATTGATACCAATGAATACAAGTTAAGATTGAACGACTACCAAGCATATTAGAGGATCTTGAGAAACTTACAAGTAGAGGTTTGATGGAACACTCAGGTACGCTTTCTTTCAGGTATGCCTTAGATAAACCATTTGAAAACTTATAGATAGTAGACTTAGGGACTACTAATTATATGACTAATACTTCTAAATATTTCTACAGTTATTTGTTATATCTCAATAATAGAAAATTTGTTATTGCATATGATTCTCTAAACACCATCTAGTAAGGGAACAATCAAACTGAATCCTTTCTTGATTTTAGAAAATGTGTTACATATTGTCATGTTCTATAAATCTTGTATTAGTCACCAAATTATCACAAGGTTTGAGCCATAAAATTCTATTTTTTCTCCTTATTGTGACTTTTAAGATCAGAACTCAAGAAACATGATTGGACTTGTTAAACTTAGAAATGAGTTTTATTACTTGGATACACTTGGTTGATCTCTCTTTGTTGTCTCTGCGACCCTAATCACAAGCTTTGCTTTACCACAAAAGACTTAATCATCCTTTTCTTTTCATTTTAAAAGCTGTTATTTAGAAATTCTAATGAGAAACTTATATTGCAATGTATGTGAGTTTGCCAAATATAAGAATCTCCTGCGACCGGAGCTATACCGACCGATTTGCTTTGTCTATGCACTGAGCCACGCTGCATCTGCCGGTCAGAACCCTTCACTGTGCCATTCCAGCCTTCCACGCACGGGGATGTCCAGCTCTCATTATTCCGTGCACCGAACCACTCCGATCTCTGTTCGCACTTAAGCAGAACCAAGCCGTCCTTGCCTGAGCCGAGCTGTGCCGATCCGAGCCATTGCCTTGCCAAATAAATCTGTTTCTAGTGATCTTCTTTAGGCTTGCATTGCTTTTTCGACCGTTATTGGTGCTGTTCAGATGGTCTTTTCTATCTCGTTGAGATTAGCTATTATGTATTGTTCTTTCCTATTTCTAGTTATTTTAAATATTGACCGAAGTAAAAAAAATAGTTGTTCCTAGTTCGGTAACCCTTCATCAACTATTGGATCCTTTTCAAATGAGGAAATTCAAGTGTCTCATATCTCAATTTAACCATTCATCAGCTTTTAGTACATTAAAAATGGTAAAATCAAGTATTGCTCATCTCCCTATTATTTCTAATTTTGATACTTGGATTATAGATTCTGAAACTAATAAACACATGACAGATTTTTCTAAAGATTTCCTAACAAATTTTTCTTATACTAAACAACAAAACGTCCGTATAGTAAATGGATTATACACTCTTGTATCTAGAATAAGTTCTATCAATTGTACTCCAACCATTACTCTATCTTTAGTACTTCATATGCCTAGTTTTTCTAACAATTTTTTATTTATTAGTGTCATCATTAAAGATTTTAACTGTAAAATTGAATTCTTTTTTCTGATTATTGTGTCATTCAGAATCTTCAAACAGGGAAGATGATTAATACTGGTAAACTGCAGGATGACTTACATGTCTTGAATAGAAGTTAAAGCATAATGGGGAATCAAGCTGCCTTCGGAGTACATTATCAGGAGACATTTGCACCTGTCGTGAAGATGAACACAATCAGAATATTATTGTCTTGTGTAGCTAATCTAGATTGAGACTTACAATAGTTTTGAAGTTTTAGAGATGAAAATTCTACTTCTACTTATTATTTCCATCACCATAAGGTGTCAATTTACAGGAAAAATATAACCAAATTATAACAAAAAACCTAACAAAATTCTAGCAACTTTATGGGAAGGAGGAATAATAAAATCGGTTATACCTCATCAACTTTGTGATTACCTCCACTAGGCTAAACATTACGCTAATAATAACAAAAAATAAAAACCGAATTGATTCTTTTATTTTCTACACTCCCCCTCAATCTAGTTTACGTATATGTTCAGTAAATCTAGATTGAATATTATGTCATCAAAGATCATTTTTGATAGTTTTTGTTAAGATGTCTACAATCTGTTAACTAGTTGGAATGTGCATGAATGTTATAATACCATCTTCTAACTTCTCTTTGATAAAGTGACGATCAATCTCCACATGCTTGATTCTGTCATGGTGTAC